GTGCCTGTGCCAGGATACGAACTTAGATCTGATTCCAAAACAAAGTTCTGGCCACCAAGACACACCACTTCTGTATGAGGTTCTAACAGTCCTTCAGCGTCACTTGCTGGCAAGCTGGGGTCCAACGACCCCTAGGGAACGCCCTGAGCGCACGCTTCTGCGGATGTGCACTTTCCTGGGATGGGGCCACGGCTCTCATGGACTTCTCAAAAGCTGTTTGTGACCAGACTCCTTCGCCTTTGAGTTCTTTTATCTCTTTCTCCGGCCTGCCCCCTGCTGTGGACACCTGTCCCCGTTTGCCACTGCTGAGTTACAGCTGACACAGCTCCTCTCTCCCCATCAACACGTCTGGACTTAGAAGCCAGATGACAAGCGGTTTGGTGTGTGAGCAATCGGACGTGGATTCCAGGTCCTGCCCCTGACCCCGGAGTGACAGGGACCGACCAACCCAGCCTTCCCGAGCCCGGGGCTGCGGGCAGGTGCTTAGTAAGTCTACGGGGGGAGCTAGAGAGAGGAATTGTTACTTCATCCATGAGGTTTGTCCTGCATTCATTTTCGCCCACTTGGCAGCTTGTTTTTCCAGACGTTTTCTAAGAGCTTTCTCAGGACGTTCTCAATTCTTGACAAGTAAGCGGACATCCACTCCACCTCAGTTACCAGCGATTTCTCCACGTCAGCTACATGAGGACAGTTTTCTAACTGAGTTCCTGAGAGGCCTACAGGTTGAGAGTGTGGGGTGAGTTTTCTTCTCTCCTACCCAAACCCAGCCCTGATTTTATCTATTTTATATGTGGAAAATAAATGAGAACCCTGGGTTCAAAACCAGTGTTGCAAGACAGAACTTGACCATAAAATAACAGATGAAAAGAAATGAAATGAAAACCTTGTAAGAAAGCTGATCAGGTCACACACCGTAACTATGAAACATCCACAAACTCCTAGAATAGCCAAACGCTCAAAAGGCAAAGGCCTGTGTTACGTGCGTACTCCGCAGACCACACAACAGAAGCTAACGAACAGTATCCCCGCAGCCTAGAATTTCCTTCTGAGCTCTGTATTTGGGAAAAGGCAAACCCCTAGTGACGTAAGCAACTGGCTCAAGGAGACAAGGCTCTCAGTCCCCGATGACGTCCTGGGGTCACACACACGTCCAGCACAGCCTCCTCGCCTGTGTCCAGGGCTTCTCTTCTCCCCTCTCCACACAGGCGCTTTTCTGACAGCGCCTATTGCAGAGAAAGCCCTGAATTCTCTCCCCCAACCCAGGCGCCTTTCCCCCAACCCGGTCACCGCTCCCTCAGTGCCGCGTCACACCACCCCTCCTAAGGTAATGAAGAGGGAGCGAGCGTTCCAAGGAAAATTTCAGGATAAAGGCATTAAGTTTCTGCTTAATCTTTAGCTAACCAGAAAATCCAATTTAATAATAAAAAAAATGCTTTTACTGCGAAATAACTGTCTCAATCACATACTTGTTAGCTTAAAAATGGTGAGAGCACATTTCTTGATGCTTTTCAAGTACTGTAAGGTAGCAGTTCAGTATAACTTTGCTCTTTGAATCCTTCTTACAGAAATTAAAAAAAAGAAGAAAAAGGCAACATGGGAGGACAGAATTCTAGTTTTCAACTCACTGCCTACACCGCAGCCAAGATGCTCTACTTGGGGATGTATGAAAGAAACACTGGTACACATACCAAGCCTTGGCATAACTGCTCCAAGAAACTGCTCATCTTCTTGGAAGTGGTTCTCCTGTAAGGATTCCAGCAATTTCTGCAGGACATCTTGGGGCACTTTGCAGCCGGTGCCCTTCAGTTCAGTGAATCTGGTTAACCGGAAGCTCTTATCCAATTCATAACTTTCTGGGTTAAAGGACTCCCGCGCAGACATGGTTCTTGGGTGCACACACCCTGCGGCTGGGCACCTCTCCTCCCTCTCCTAGGCGGCTGCTTTCTTTACAGATCCACCTGGAGAGAACCGAAACACAAAGACACCATTAAGAGACCTCACCAGTACTTGCCAACAATCAAGTTGTACACAGGACAGTGAAATCACCAAGACCACAGGGAAAACAGCGATCTGGGGCCACAAGTTTATCACAGCGATGCACAAACCAGAGTAAGTCACTTAAAAAAATGACCACAGCATTAGAGACCTCTTCTACATAAGAAGATATCTGTGGTGTCACACTCGTGGCTCTGAGGGGCAGCACTGAAGATGGAACTACAGGCCAGCTGGGCTTACAGGACAGAGTGCTATTTTTGAGCAAAAAGTCCCAAAGGTTCTTTAGCGGGCAGCATTGTGAGAAAACTTATAATCACTTCATCTGTCAAGCAGGAAGCACTATGGCTGAGAAATTAGATGTCCTGGCTAAAATGACTTTTCTGGAAAACCTTCTGGTATCTTCTGCTATCTTACACAGAAAAATAAAGCGCCCGATAGGCCCTTTCCAGGAAAAGGATGTTACTGGATAGTCAGTGGATGAAATTCTTTATGATGCTAAATTCAATTTTAGAAAAATAGGTTTTCACTCTGAGCCAGAAGTACACGATTCGACCTCAAACTAAAAGGAAGCCTCAGTAAAGAAGACAACTTGAAAACTGGAATGGCTGTTTTAACACAGCAAGGCTCATTTTCTTTTAGAGAGCAAGGAAAGTTCTCTGATGTTTTAACGCAGCACTGTTTCCTAGAAAGCAAACATCTCGCCCAACAAACTAGTACACACACATCACTGACAAAATATGCTACTGCTCATTACTGTTTCACTGCAGACCTAAAGTGATAAAATAAACTGGACTAAATCACTAGCATTTATGGTACCTGGTACCACTGGAAGTTTCTGGAACAAACCTTTCTAAGTTTGAAGCCTTTGGGGCTAAACCAAAACCTTGCATGTGCTCCCGGGGTTTACAAACTTCCAGACTGATACTTTATTAGGCATAGAATTACAGACGCCCCAAGTTTTAGGGTCAGTTTCCCCTATAAAACTTATGATTAAGAACATAATTCCCCTTTATAGAGTTTTCGATCCCCTGGGAAGCACATCACTCATTTAAAATAAATCTCACAAAGCCTGAATTTGGGCAGTAATCCAAACCGTCTTTACAAAAACATGTTTGGGGGTGAGCAGTGATTTCGGTTTGAAACCTCCAACTGTAAAGGAGCGAACCTTCCCACATTCCAAGAGAACCACCTGCCCAAAAGGAGGGAGCCAGGAAACCTAAGCAAGCTGCGGAGATGGGAATTTTGAAGCCATTTTAGAGTTAGGAGAAGTCCAATAGCACTTTGACTTGGAAGGGTTTGGAACAAAAACAACAGTCCTTTCCTCACCAAATGCCTCGCATTTAACACCGCCTCGCTTCTACCAGGAAAAAAAAAAATCCAACTCACGAGGCATCCAGTTATTTTCCTACCTCCAATCTCTATCCAAAAAAAAAGCCGAGGGGAATTTGGAATTCAGGGGACTAACTTCCTCTTAAATCTTCCCAGACATTTTAGGGGAAAAAAGTTCAAAACACCTTAAGCCCAGAAGGCACTCGAGTTTTAAAAGTTCCAAATGGAACAAGGGACGTAAATCACACACATCACATCTGAATCCTAAAAATAAATTCTTACATTTTTTTGGAGGGGATGGGGGGGGGACTCGGGGAAATGAGTAATTATTAATGGGGAGGGGGGTTGCATAATAAGCACTCGATTCCAACCCTGAAGCCGTCTGTTTACACCTTTAAAACAATGATATGAATATTTAAAACAACGGTTAACCCTTTCCTTCTCGGCCACGTTTAAAATTTTTCAAACGAGAGCGCCAGGCGGGACGCAGAGCCGGGGGAGCCCGGTAAGTGGGGGCGGCAGCGAGGCAGCCCCGGCCGTACCTACCTCCCCCCAAGTCCCTAAGCCCAGGAAGCAAACAATGAGGGGGACAGGGCGGCGTGGGCGCCGGGGCAGCGCAC